AGACTAGGAAAACTTTTAAAAAGATGTATTTGACCTTAAATCTTAGCCAAAAACTGGTATAGATTTAAGATTTCTGCTATTCATTGCAAAATGGAGAAAATCAAATAATGTTGGTTGCCCAGTGGAGTTATACTAAGAGGATTTTTATTTTATTTTTTTTAGGAGAGGCAACCCTTGGTTGACCTCACAGATTGCAAGGACCTTGTCAGCTTCCAATCCCTTATTTTTTATTTCTTACGCCTACAGCACTTGGTCTTCCTAGGTGGTCTCCAATCCAAGTACTAACCATGCCCGACCCTGCTTAGCTTCTGAGATCAGACGGGATCGGGCGTATTCATGGTGACGTGGCCGTAGACCTAAGAGAATTATTTTTCAAAAACTGATTAAGCAGAAAGACAATGGGATAAATATCGTACCAAACAATAATAACCATTTCATCTTTACCCTATCAATTTTAGAGGTGAGTATAATACTAGATCTATAGCCTTAATGGGTTAGTTCCTATTATCTGCTGTTTCTGCTCATTTTATACTTATCTTGTTTCCTTTAGTATCTGGTTGTTTTTTATTGTATGCTGGACATACAGCATAAAAAATTGTAGAAAAAATGTGAGGCCTAGGATGATGTTATCTTCTTCTAGGAAAGATTTTCCTTTGCTTCTGCAAGTACCCGTGAGCACTAGCATTCCAGAAATCATCTTAATCCATTTTCAGAGATTTAGACTGTCTGACCCATCCAGGTAAATCAAAGCTGTGCTGCAATCTCTGTGAGGATTTGTTCTCCTCTGGTTCAGCCTTACCTTTCCCATCTATGACTGCTCGAGATCTTTAATTCCATGTCCTTCAGGGCTTTCGAAAGCGCTATCCAGTTTATCAATGCATGCTTTCTGTGTTCAAGGTGATAAAAGACAAGATAGAAAGTTTTGGCAGAGAATTAGAAACTGTAAAAAAATGACACAGCAAATGTGAAAAAGAACCAAATAGAAATTATAAATATGAAAACTGCAATAACCAAAAAATTTAAAAGCAGTGGGTGGATTTAACAGTAGATTAAACACAACGGAAGAATAAATAATAAACTAGAAAATAGATCAGAAAAAAATATCTGGACTGGAACTTGAAAAGAGTAAAGTTTAGGAAAAACAGAAAAGAGAGACATGGAGGATACAGCTAAGCTAATGCTTAAATGAAAATTTATGACCTTAAATGGATATATTAGAAATGAAGAACGGCTGAAAATTAATGGGGAAACATGTACCTCCAGAAATTAAAGTAAGAACAGTAAAATCTAGAGAAAAGAGGAAGGAAATAGTAATATAAAAATATGAATTAAGGAATTAGAAAATAGAGGATCTATAAAGTAAGAAGTTGGTTTTTGAAAATGCCAATGAAGTGATAAACCGCTGGCAAGATAATCAAGAAAAAAAGCACCAGTCAGGACCTATAGTGAGTTCTCAATTTCATTTCTTAAATGAGACATTAAAATAATTAATGCTAGTTCTAATTTTATTCTAATAATAAGAGGATATTATAAGTAACTATGTCAATAAATTTGAAAATTAAAAAAAATAAATTCCTTGAAAAACACAATTTACCAAAACTGACAGAAGAAAAAACCTGAATAATTCCATAGCTGTTAAATAAATTTAATGTATTTCAAAAAAAACAAGATAAACGAGCAAACAATAACAACAAAAACTGTAGGCTCAGAAGGTGACATTAGTGATTCTACCAAAAGAGAGGAAACTAATAGGGCAATTTAACTTCTGAATGTAGATGGAGAAATTCTAGATAAAATATTAGTAAATAAAATCCAGGAGTATATAAAAGAGATAATACAGCCAAACTAATTTGGGTTTATTCTAAAAATGCAAGATTTCCTTAACACTAAAAGTGACTAATCACCAGTGTTTATTAATAAGGTAAAGGAAGAAATTTGTTATTATCTCAATAGATACAGGAGGAAAAAAGAATTTGATAAATTCAACATTTAGTAATTGTGAAAATTAAATAAAGGTACAAGGATTGGAAAAAGAAAACTGTTATTATCTGGGTAATATGATTGTACACAGAGAAAATTTTTAAAAATCTACAAACTGGAATTACTAAGTTTAGCAATGTTTCTCAAGACACAGTAAATATTTAAAATTTAATTGTTTGTACATATAGATATGTATGCCACATTTAAGTATATAATATTATTTTCAAAGCATCAAAAGTAACCAGTGCCTAGGAATACACTTCACGAAATATACTCAAGAACACTGTGCAAAAAACCATGAGATATTACTGTGGTAAATTAAAGAAGACTTAAATAAGTGGAAAGGTACATCATGCTCAAGGATTGGCCGATTCAATACTGTAACAACGTCATTCCCAGATTGATCTGCAGGTTCACAGCATTGCCAGTTAAGCAGGTTTTTTTTGAAACTAGTGAGCTAATTCTGCAATTTATAAGATTATTCAAAGGGCCCAGACTAACCAAGACTCAATTGAAGAAGAATAAAAAGGAAGGACTTGTTCTCCTGGATATTAAGATGTGATATACTTAATATAACGTGTTACCGGTACACAGATAGGCAAGTAGACATTGGATCAGAATAGAGAGCACTGAAACAGACCCATCCCTATGAGGACATGTGGGTGGTGGAAAGATAATATTGTTGACTATTTCCCCAAAATGGTACTGAGTCAACTGCATATCCATACTGGGGAAAAAAGTGAATCTTGTCTGCTACCTCTCATATTTATCCCAGGTAGATTGGAAGCCTAAAAGTGAAAGGCAAAGCAATAAAGATTTTGGAAAATAATAAACATAATATTTTCATGATAATGTAGGAAATATTTTTTTTAAAAGGCCATACAAATCACTATTAAAAAACAAAATAGAAAATTTAAGAACATCTGTTCATCAAAAGATTCTACTAAGAAAGTGAAAAGGCAAACCAGAGGGTAGAAGAAGATATTTGTAACAAATATACCTTCCATTTCCAGAATATATAAGGAGCCCCTGTAATTGAATGACTGTAATAATAATTAGTCACGTGCCACATTTCAGTCAGCAATGGACCACGTAAACGATAGTGGTCCCGTTAGATTATAGTGGAGCTGAAAAATTCCTATCACCTAGTGGTGTCGTAGCTGTTGTAATGTCATAGCGTAGCACATCACTCACGTGTTTGTGATGACATGGATGCGGACAAACCTACTGCGCTGCCAGTTGTATAAAAGCATAGCACATACAGTGATGTACAGTACAGAACACTTGATCATCATAAAAAACTATGTTCCTGGTTTATGTATTTACTGTACTGTGCTTTTTATTATTGTTTTAGAGCGTACTCTTTGACTTGTAAAAAAAAGTTTTGCTGTAAAATAGCATTCTGTGTTACGCTGGTGGCAGCCTCATACATCTCACGTTTACCGCCTCTCTCGGTTGCATCATTTTCTCTTGTGTTTGATTTAATCTCGTGTTGTTTTCTACAGTGACATACTGTACTGGCTTGTGGCCTAGGAGCCATAGGCTACACCCTATGGCCTAGGTGTGTAGTAGGCTACAGCATCTAGACCTGTGTAAGTGCACACTATGATATTTGAGCTATACTGAAATTGCCTAATGATGTTTATGAAATTATGGTTTATCCATTCTATAAAAAGCAGTAGAGCATTGGCAAAAATCAGAAATATCTTTATGTACTGATGTAGGAAGATGTCAAGCTGTATTTTTAGATGAGAAATGAAAATCCAGAAAAAATATGCATGGTATGACCTCATTTCTCTAAAAAAGACTGGAGGGGATGCATAGCAGTGGCATTGATGTGGCCATAAAAAACCTGGCTGTAATGGCAATTATGTTCCCAAACCAAGTATGTAATAACATTATTTATATTTTAATTTTCTGTGCCTGTAAACTGTATAGTTTAGGCCTTTATAATCCCTCAGATTCTATGGGAAACTGGGAATGCGGGAAATTAGTTTTACCCATAAAAAGTTTTGTTCTTGGGGTTAAATTTAAGAATTTTTTTGTAGAGTTAATGCAATGAGCAAACAGACGAAAAAATCAGAAGCAAGGAGTGAGAAAGCTGAATTGAGCCCAAGAAGGATATAGGACCCAGAAGGTGGGCAGAGAGAGAGAAAGTCAAGTTCATGGTCGAAAGGATTAGCAGTTGTGGAGAATGTGCAGCCTTATCTCCCCACATTCATCTGAACAGCCCATCCAGACATAAGCACTGCTTTGTGCCTTACTTCTCTGCAGAAAGAAAAGGTTCTGATGGTCTGATTGTCCCTCAGCCCAGCAAACCACCTTGCTCTACCTGCGGTTCCCAGCATCCCTCCTGCCTGCTAGGAGTAGGTGCCGGACAGAGTTAACAAACATAGGACCTTTATCTTTTGGTCAAAGACCATGTACTCCTGGAGCTTCATTCAGTTGTCCAATGAGAGCTGTGGTTTGGCTCTGAGATCCCTAACTCGAAGAGGGCATCAGGCAGGGTAGAGGCATGCTTAAATATAGGAAGGTTGGAAGTGCAGGAATAGGTGATTATAAATTTGTATGGTTAAGCCTGACCCTTTTCTTAAGCTGCTTGCTTGTTCATTCCTCCATTCATTCATTTACTCATTCTTTCAGCCCATGTTGCTTGAGTCCTGTGCTGTACCCCAAGATTGTATTGTGCTTTTAAGTCATTGAGCAGGGGCAGTGTATCTGTGTTAGTGTTGAAGGATGTGTTATGGAATTCATTTCTATCCTCCTTCATGCATTTGCTTGGTTATTTCTTGGTAGCACTCTCTCTCTCCCCACTCCCTTCTCTGCTCCTTCTCCCTCCCTTCTTCCCTTCCTCCCTTTCTCCCTTCCTCTACCCGCCCCCCACAGCTCCCATGTGTATGTGTGTGTGTTGTGTATATGTGTATGTGTGTGTGTTTTATGACTTACAAAACATTTCTCGAGAACTGGACTTAAAATATATGTCAAACAAAATCACTCATTTGAGCCTCTCTTGTTTGTAGGTTGAATCACGGGACAATGCCACGTGTTTTATGGACAGTGTGGGTCTTGGGGGCTGCAATCAGCCTGTTGGAGAAAGGGGCCCTTGACCAGGCTTCTTCTGTGAATTGCGACTCCACTGGTGTCTGCGATGGCCACTCCAAATCTTTAAACTTCATCCCCTCAGGGCTCCCAGCAACTGTGAAAAGCCTTGACCTATCCAACAACAAGATCACCTATGTCAGCAGCAGTGACCTGCGGGCCTGTGTGAACCTCCAGGCTCTGAGGCTGGGGTCCAACAGAATTAACGCAATACAGGAAGATTCTTTTCTCTCCCTGGGGAGTCTCGAACACTTGGATTTATCCTATAATCACTTAAATAATTTATCATCCTCCTGGTTCAGGCCTCTTTCTTCCTTGAAATTCTTAAACTTACTGGGAAATCCTTACAAAACACTTGGGAAAACATCTCTTTTTTCTCATCTCACCAATTTGCGAATCTTGAAAGTAGGAAATAATTACTTCACTGAGATTCGGGAAAAGGATTTTGCTGGGCTAACTTTTCTTCAGGAACTTGAGATTGATGCTTCAAATCTTCAGAGGTATGAGCCAAAGAGTTTGAAGTCAATTCAGAATGTCAGTTGTCTGATCCTCCATATTAAGCAGCCTGTTTTCCTCCAGAAAATTTTTGTAGATATTTTAAGTTCCTTGGAATATTTGGAACTGATAGATACTCATTTGAACACTTTCCATTTTTCAGAAGTATCCATCAATAAAACCAACACACTGATTAAAAAGTTTACATTTAGAAATGTGGAAATCACGGATGAAGGTTTTAATGAACTTGTGAAACTGTTGCCTTATGCTTCTGAAGCGTTAGACGTGGAGTTTGAAGACTGTACCCTTAATGGAATTGGCGATTTTGACATATCCGTTAGGGATACAATTAAAGATTTACGTAAAGTAGAGACATTAATAATACGGAGGTTATATATTCCACATTTTTACTCATTTTATGATCTGAGTAATTTATATTCATTTATAGGAAATGTTAAAAGAATCATAATAGAAAGCAGTAAGGTTTTTCTAGTTCCTTGTTCCCTTTCACAACATTTAAAATCATTAGAATATTTGGATCTCAGTGACAATTTAATGTTTGAAAACTTTTTGACAAACTCAGCCTGCGAGCATGCCTGGCCCTCCCTACAAACCTTAATTTTAAAGCAAAATCACTTGACATCATTAGAAAAAATCGGAGAAACTTTGCTTACTCTGAAAAACCTGACTAACCTTGATATCAGTAAGAATAATTTTCATCCTATCCCTAAAACTTGTCAGTGGCCAGGAAAGATGAAATATTTGAACTTATCCAATACAAGAATACACAGTTTAACCCGTTGCATTCCCCAGACACTGGAGTTTTTAGATATTAGCAATAACAATCTTGATTCATTTTCTCTGATTATGCCACATCTCAAAGAACTTAATATTTCCAGAAATAAGTTGAAGACTCTACCAGATGCCTCCTTCTTACCCATGTTACTAGTCATGAGAATCAGCGGAAATACAATAAATACTTTCTCTCAGGAGCAGCTCGATTCTTTTAAAAAACTGAAGACTTTGGAAGCTGGGGGCAACAATTTCATTTGCTCCTGTGAATTCCTGCGTTTCACGCAGGAGCAGCAGGCACTGGCCCAGATCCTGATCGACTGGCCGGGAAACTACCTCTGTGACTCTCCGTCCCACGTGCGGGGCCACCGTGTTCAGGACACTCACCTCTCCATTTCCGAGTGCCACAGAACAGCTCTAGTGTCTGCCTTGTGCTGTGCCCTTTTCCTGTTTATCCTGCTCACTGTAGTTCTGTGCCACCATTTCCATGGATTGTGGTACATGAAAATGATGTGGGCCTGGCTCCAGGCCAAGAGGAAGCCCAAGAAAGCTCCCCACAGGGACATCTGTTATGACGCCTTCGTGTCTTACAGTGAACGAGATTCCCACTGGGTGGAGAACCTGATGGTCCAGGAGCTGGAGCACTTCGACCCTCCCTTCAAGCTGTGTCTTCACAAGCGAGACTTCGTTCCTGGCAAGTGGATTATTGACAATATCATTGACTCCATCGAAAAGAGCCACAAAACTGTCTTTGTGCTTTCTGAAAACTTTGTGAAGAGTGAGTGGTGCAAGTATGAACTGGACTTCTCCCATTTTCGTCTCTTTGATGAGAACAACGATGCTGCCATTCTCATTCTTCTGGAGCCTATTGAGAAAAAGACGATTCCCCAGCGTTTCTGTAAGCTACGGAAGATGATGAACACCAAGACCTACCTGGAGTGGCCCACCGACGAAGCTCAGCAGGAGGGGTTTTGGTTAAATTTGAGAACTGCAATAAAGTCCTAAGCTCCTTCATTAAAGGCCAGTCTTGGTCTGCTGGTGGTCTTTGTATCAGTAGTTGTATTTCAGTCCATTGTGCCACAATTGTATGGAAACCGCATGAATGTACTGTCATTTGAGGACTTGTTTTACTAAAACTACTAAACTGTGCAAATTTTATCTAGAGTGCTGTCTTATAAAAACTGCTATCAGATTGGGGGAAAAAATGATTTGGGGTTTTTCTTTATCCTAGGAGATGATCAGGATCTAAGTCCATTGTTAATATTTGAATTATCTGCAGCAGTTAGCTTAGTTCACTAGGAAACAGCACAGATGAACAGAAGCTTTCGAATGAATGTGTCAGTCAGCTTTCTGCTCACAGACTCATCTGTGTATAGAGGGCAGTCTCTGTACCACCTAGCTGTCTCCCTGTGTGACTGCTCTCATGGTCAATAAGATAAAATGTCTGGGTCACTTACACTTGTTGCCATTCCTAGAAAAAAGTGTGTCCCCACCAAACTTCACAAGGTACAAAATGCCTGGAGGGTGTTTTGCGAACTGGTCTGTCGGTCTGTGTATTCGATAGTATTCTCTAGCCATAATCACTTAAGAGAAGGTGTCTAAGAAGATACAGTAGATTACGACTTTCCATGAAAGTCAAACTAGTGCAGTAAATATTCGGTTTAGGAGAATTTGAAGCCTTTCATGTCCCTGGCTCTGGTCTCCCTCCAGCCATTAACTGCATGTGAAATTCTAATTAGTATCCAATAACTCTGGCTTTTAGTCCCTGCCTTCTCGTCTGTCTCCCCTACATCATGGTGCTTTTTTTCTTTGAAAAATCTCGTTTCTGATTCTAAAAAAGATTTCGTTTCTTCTGAAAATGTGTATTAATACACGTGAGCTAGATTTTTAAACAAGTATAAAGCTAGAGGTTCCTCACAGTGATCAAAATATTTGACACATAGCAATGAAAAAAATAGATACTACTTGCATATGTTAATTTTTATAATCTAGATTTAATAATACATTACATTGAATGTAATTAATGCCTTAAATTTAAAACCTAAGAGCTGTTTTACTGATTCGGCGCAACTTTCTCCTTAAGCTGGGAACCACATGTGAAAGGACGTGAACTCCCTCTGACCCTGCTTGAGTCTCAGCCGGAACTGGGTTTGTGTGGTTAACTGGTCTCTGGAGTCAGAAAGACCCGGGTAAGTAGATGTGTATCGTTAGGCAAGTTCCTTAACCTGACTCAAAGTATTTTCCTGTCCTTAAAAGAGGGACAATCATATCAAGATCATAGGGTATGATGTAGATAAGAATGTGCAGTAATGTAGATAAACTACTGAGCGTATGTCCCGTGGTTACCCTTCCCTCTGGAGGGGCGAGGAGAGCATGAGGACCACGCCTGTGAGAATGACGGGGTGCTCGCATGGGGCGACAGGGATGCCTGTACCTGATGTTAGCTGTTATTATTATTTTACAAGAAGTGATTTGTCTCCTTTCGTGTATAATTTGCAAATGGATATTTTTCTGTTTTGGGTATTAGCAGGGATATAAAGGACCCTGTTGTTCATGGAAAAATATCCCAAAGAAATAAGTTCATTGAGTGTGTAACAGGCTTTAGTCCTTGGGACACTCACATAGTGTTTCTTCTCTCTCACACAAACTCCTGGGGGAGTGTTATAGAGGAAACAGTCGTCAGCCTAAGAAAAAAATAGAAAAGCTCAGGAGAAGGAAACTCGAGATGCCACAGACACCAACCACAATAATGGGCCTTTTGCTTCTCTAGGTCCTACATTAAGCACAATATTAATCGTCACGAGAACTAGACACATTTAATATGGACTTGATCTGTAGATTGATTTCAGTTGTTTAAACAGCATGGAAATAGCTTCCTAGTTAATTGATAGATGTTAAACATGTTCACTCTAGAAAAGAGATAACATATAAAAGAAAATAATAATCAGCTCTTACCTCTTCACCTTCAGATAACTACCAGTAACTAGTATCTAGCTCTCTAACATTATATATATTATTTTTTACATATATATATATTTGATTTTAAATACTTAAACTACATAAAGGAAATAGCATCTTTACTTTTTTTCTGAGATTGTTTAGTTATCATTATCTAACATTTCTGAACTCTGAGGGTCATTCAGAATTCCATGCAGATACATACTGGTTACTTGCCCAACTTCTAAAAGGTTCTAAAAGTTACCTCCATGTAGCCGTCCACAAAAAATAAGTGGCAAATATATGAAAGGTCAATTTAAGGGCTCCTTTTATAGAAGAAAAATTAATTTTTTAATGTGTTATCCAATTGTGAGGTCTTTTATTTGTCAGTAGACCATAAGCTCAGGAATCTTGACTTCCTTAACTCTTGCACATGCCTCATATATAATAAGTATTGCATTGCTGAAATGTTTGCTGAGTAGAAAAATAAATAATCTAATATTATGAATGGTTGAACCAATAGTTATATTGCATCGGTCAGTTTCAAGAAAGAAAATTACCGACAGGTAGAAATCTTAGTGTGAGTTTCCATTACAACTATAATGGACGTTCGAATAGCATTAAGTACTTTGCCAGTATTTCAGATAATTGGTGTATTTTCTTTCTACTTCACAAAAGTGCATTGTCTTCAAGTATTGCAGAGTAGATATCTGGTGTAACGTGTACAGCGTTGACTGTTTAACAATCGACCAGTAATTTTAAATGAATGAATTTTGGTAGTCCAACATATCCTTGGGTTAATTCTTTCTGATTGGTCTTCCCTACTCCATTAATTTTGTTCCCTTCCACTGGATTCATTCATTCTTTCAACAGATATTTACCGAGCGCCTACTGTATGCCAAGCACTGCTCCAAGTGCTGGAGAAATAGTAGGAAACACAACATAAAATTCTCTACTTTCATGGAGGGGAAGACAAAGAGTAAACAAATATATGATTTCAGGTATTGATAAGTGCTATGAAGGAAACAAAAGAGTGTGGCGGTAGAGTGATTGTGTGTGTGTGTGTGTGTGTGTGTGTGTGTGTGTGTGAACAGAGTGGCACAAAAGAAGAGAATAATCCTATTTTAGTGCAGCCCTTGGATGAGTTGAGTACATTTCACAAGCCCAGGAAACCTGGCAGAGCTCTGGCCCATTCACTGAGTGGCCTGTGGCACCTAGTGCTACAGGTTTCGGGAGTAACCCCCTCTACACAGAAGGGCTTCAAGGTGCCAAAGCTGCCATGTGGTCACACGCACAAAGAGCAGAAAAGACCATACCCTTGAACCACAGATTACTTAACAACTGTGCCTACTTCTTTGAAGATGTTGAGCCGAGCAGAAGGTATTAGTTATGCCCAAATGTTCTAAGTGAGAAGTATTTTGCAAACCTCTGAAACATTTTACAGATGAGATCATTATCAGCCAAATTAGAGGTGGAATGTCCTCGGGGAGTTGTAACAAATACATCGCATGCATGGATTAGAAAACAATCATAATGGGAAAGATGCAAAGCAGGCTTCATTTGTTCATTCAGCTTTTCAATTTCTATATAGACAAATTGCCTTAGGTAGACCACCAAATTTTATTCAGTTTTCTTAAACTTTTGGGATCATCTCTAAAATTAAAAAAAAAAAATCAATAGGAAATGTAGGATCAAGGATTTAAAAATATTTCAACAGGCAATACATGTTTTCTGGGGTAAATCTGCTGTACTATTCCAGCCCTAGTGAAGAGTGAATGCCTTGAACTATTCCCATCACCATGGGTTGCTAAGCTACCAGATAACGAAGCCAGTCCAGGATTTGTCCATACAAAATGTGTGTGCGCTCCCAGCTAAATCTCAGTTAAGGAGGTTGCTCTCTACACAGACAAGTAGCAGAGATATTCATGAATAACATTTGCATATACTATAAGCAATCTCAAAAGTGGGTATTTTCTTTCTTTTAATTCTATGTGCTCATTGAAAAGCCCCTTATATGATTTTTATAGTGTTTGGTTATCATTATTAACACTACTCCTAATTTCCAAAAGTAAATTGAAATAGTTTACAATAAAATCCCAAACTACAAAACAAGAAAAAAAGGCAAGGATCATATGCTAAAAGAAAGAGGCGGAGGGGAATGACTGCATTGGAAAGCCAAGGATAATGGAAGGTACTGTAACTGAGCAAATCAGCTCTGGGCTTTCCTACAGTCAGCTAATCAGAGGGAACTCATTTTTTATTAAGAAAAACATGTCTTCACAGAGAAGATATACCTTTTCCTGGTATCTTTGATAACTTCTGCTAAGGGGACTTAATACATAGTATCTCTGATAACAATGTTACATATATGGAGGCAGAATTTTCACATGCAGCTTTTCCTCTACTGAGTCTCAATAAAAAGAGTACATGTAATATTAAAAAGTTTATTCTCTTGAGACTATATAAAGAAACCAATGGTCCTTTGTCATTTAAATGATCATTTAAGGTGACATTTATGATCATATTATCACCAATTTTATAACAAAGATATGCGTACTATAGTTTTAGAAGTTATAACCAAAAGTGGTTCTGGACTCAGTCTCCTCGTATTAGAAGGGAAATTCAGGGAGAGTGGATGGAAAGAAAGGGGGAAGGAGCATCTGATGCCTTTAGCCTTGGTGGTGCTTGAATTACAGAGACTCACTGAGAAGGCCTGTAGATCAGCGGTCCTCAAACTTTCGGCACCAGCGACCGGTGCTCCTATGAGAATCTGATGCGTGGTGTTCTGAGGTGGAGCTGAGGTGGTGATGCTAGCGCTGGGGAGCCGCTGCAAATACAGATGAAGCTTCGCTCACCTCCTGCTGTGTGGCCCAGTTCCTAACAGGCCACAGACCGGTACTGGTCCACGGTCCAGGGGTTGGGGACCCCTGCTGTAGATGGAGCTGGGGGCTGCAGAGGGTGCTCTCTGTTGCTAGGGCATGGCTCTGTGACCCACAGACCCATTGATGCTGCCCCCTCCTCTGCCCTACTTGAAATGTGCATGCGTTCTCGGCTAAAATTTGCAGTCCTCAGAGATGGGGGTGTTGCTGCCAATAGCCACTGCCAAAACTGTATGTTTAAGGTTGGTAAAGAGAAGGGGGAACAGGGAGAAAGGGAGATGTAACATTGTATAATTTAGGTAATTGGTACTCAGAAAGCACAGAAAGGCTATCTCTTATGAGAAGGGAGAGTACTTGGCAGGGGGATGCCAACCTCTCGATGTTCTTTTGCTTAAGGGGGCTATGTTTCGATCCCATTTATCCCTCTGGAAGAGATATATGATGGTCTTGGGCCAGGGAGATTAAAGATTGTCTTTCTAGTCAGCTCTGGATGGGGCCATTACCTTTCTTAATGAGGTTTGGGGCTATTCAGTGGGGGTCCCTGCTATCTGTCAAAGTCTTAGTTGCTGCCCTAAGCTGACCAAGTCTGTAGGTCTTCATTTCCTTCCAATATTATTGTCACTAGAGTTTAACCTAAGAAAAGATGAAGCATGGTAAGGAATTTAAAAAGCTAAAATTCAAGGGGAAAATCTTACTAATTTCTGGAAATAATAACATTTGTACACCTTCAAAATACTTTTTTGTACTTTAGTTCACATTTGGGACTTTTAAAATGTCAATTCCAATCTATTTATCTACCCACCCACATATCTCATTCACCCATTACCTATCATTCATCTATCATCTATATAACCCTTCTTTACCTGTCTTTTGCAATGTCATCACATTTCCACTAAAGCCCTTATAGTGGAACATATGGAATATAAAGAGTAGAGTGTGTCTTTTTTGTCATTTAGGTTCCTAACCAGAATAGTAACATATAGGCATAGCGGAGAAAAGAGACCAGTGAGTCGTTTGGAACAGGCGCTTAGGGAAAACAGAAAATTTTCTGCTGCAACTATAATGAAGGTAATGAAAGCTTAGACTGAAGAATGCATCACTTAAGATGATATTTTGTAGCTTTTTAAAAAAAGGATACGGGTTACCGATCATCCTCTTCAAATAGACTTTCTCTTTGCAGTAAGGGCAAGTCTGCTTTTTACCAACAATACACCAACCTCGGATGCAGAATTCACAAAAGCTTAGACATTTTGTTAGGGAAGCTTGTAGACAGTACAAGGCAAGGTCTGCCTCATGAGGACATGATGGGAATGTGGAGCAGAGCGGGGGGCGTGGAAACGGCCGTCAGTCTTGACTGGATCGTGTGGGTCACTTTTTAGGGAGATTCTGTAGGACAGTGGAACCCTGAGGACGGTGAGCCTGGAGTCAGAGCTACAATAGCTTTGTGACCCCGAGGTGTTTACTTAGCTTTTTGCCTCACTTGATTCTTGCAAGAATTAGATAAAGAATGTGAATGAAAGTGCTTTTTTACTGTAGTATCTTAGTTAATGTATCATTCTATTTCCCTGCCTCACTTATTGTTCATTTCTCATACATTTACCATAGTGTTTCATACTTTTGTGTATTACTCATTACCTACTACGCAATCAGACTTAGGCACTTAGACGAGTTTAAATTATTTGTGGTCATAAGCTCACAAATATTTATATTAGCTTCTTAAGTTTTTTCTCCACTTTTTTTGTATTACTGATAAGGAGTCAGTTATTTTTAATAGCATGTAAACTTAGGCGTTTACAAATTCATTTGTATACATCCCTTTGTCCAGAAAGTTTGACCGTTTGCCCCCAAAGATGAGAGTGAACCCTATGTCTCTAAGTCCCTAAGTGCCAGGGACCTAATCTTATTAGAGTATGTATCACACTGTATCATGGGTTTCTCTGTACTTACACGTCTCTCCTGGACCATGTGCTACCTGTGGGGCCGTCTCATTCATCTCTGTCCTCAGCGCCTTAGGCAGTGCCTAAGTGCCCGTGTCCTGAACAAATATTTGAAAGAATCACTCAAAACTATAATGAGACCCATCCTATTTATTTATTTATTTCTGCAGTCGTTGATCCCACTGTGGCCTTCTGGGTCAAGATCACATGATTTTCTGGCTGGCTTGCTACACACTCATGGGAACAGCAACGATGTAGACGTCCCCTCCCTAACAAATGGAGGGTGGTGAGGTGTATACAAGGCCATGTGAACAGTTCCTCAATATTAAATCTGTGTGTAACTAGGACTTCCACTATTTTATGTTCTTGGAATTGGGTTCACTTTTGCAATATGCTTGGGTTAACATAAAGTAGTATATATCACAAAAGATTTTGAACCAAAGCCCATATGGCCCTTTATTCAAAAGGCCTGGAGTACGGCCCCACCATCCAGATAGGGATAGATTTCAGAGGTCATGGAGCCAGCATTGAAATGTCCATTTCCTCTTTAATATTCTCTTTCACCTTCAAAATCTCCATGCTGAAAAGCCTCTACACACTAGCAGAATAGCCATAGAGTAATACTCAGATCTCTGCCCCTGCCTTGTTAATAGGACTCATGATGGTCCGCTCCTTGCTAATATGACTCATGCTAAAATGGGCCATTAATAATACTCCCTGCAAAGCAAATTAAAGATAACTACATTCTGGATTACATATGCACACATGTACAACAATCCCTAAGGGCTTTTAAAGGTGGAGAGACAAAATATTTCCACTTGCAAATGGCAGATGGGGCTCTGTTCCAACATTTGAAAAGTAAATCATATTTAAAACGAGAGCCAGACTTGGACTATATCTACTAAGAATGATAGCTTTTTGGGAAGACTATCATAGTTTTATGGTAGTACTGAAAATACTACCCTAGGATTCCATACAGGCTCTCTCTGTGCTTCTTACCTTAAACAGTTCAGGCTTAAATGTTGGAGTAAAGACTCCTAGTACATTTCAGATGCATTTGGTCCAGTTTTTACTCACGTTGAATAAATGGAATCTGTCTCGATTAAACAGAATTGAATCACAGGCACTGCATGTTTAGAGTATTACTGAGTTAGGTGGGCTGCAGAGGCAAGAGACAGGTGCTTTAACCACCTCAAAATGCCATGGCTTTGAATTGACTGACTGGATAGCAAGGCTATAAAATGGGCATTATACTATAAAATAAAGGTAAATGATGCCTTTTGAAATATATATTTAGAAAAGAATTAAAATACTGGTTGTTAGCCAGCCCAAACATAGCTTTAGTGTCTGGAGGTACGTGCTCAGGCAGCACAGTCTGCCTTGCTCAGGGCTCTTGATCCTGGCATCTTCGTGCACATTGAGGTTTCCCTCAGTGGTTTCTGGAGTTCCCAGAGAATTCTGGTTTCCAGGCCCAAACGTGCCTGGTCCCTAACACCTAAAGATCCCAAATGGTCCACAAACTGAGTGCTCACGTTAGGTCCTTTTCTCTCTTTCTCTCTCTTTTTCTTTTGTAATCTAGGGTGCCCTGCTGCCTGTGGCATAAACCTCTTTTCAAGACCAAAGCCAATACTTGGTTGTCCCCATCACCACTGTTGATACAAGCAGATTCCTAGGATTATTTCCAGGCAAAGCACACTTTGTCATTCTTGGTCCTGTGAGATTCAGACATGGGGCTTCACCTGGGTAGTTCTGAGCTCCTCCCTACACCCAAAACTTCATTTTTTCTCACTCCCAACCCCCTTTCTCCCTGATCCTTCTTGGCTTCCTGTTCACTTAAGGCTTTGTCAGCTTTACCAGCCAGCATCCTGCACAGGTGCTGCAGGCTTCCTGTCTGTGTGGCATTGAGATTCCTTTTTAAAAAAGGAAATTACTGGAGGAGGAGATTACTTTAATCAGCAAGCAGTTCATTATTTAGCAGGGATGATGAGAAAGTCTCAAAAAGAAAAATGGGCAGGAGGATAAAGGCCTGGGAACTGAGCAAGGCACAGGAGTGGGGGACAGGAGAAAGAGAGGAACGGGGGGAGGTGGCGAGGCGGTCTTCCCTAACCTGCCAGCTCCATGCCCAACACGGATTATTTGATATTTGCCTCCCAACATTGGCTTCGTGAAGACCAGATGGTTTCCCATGGAAAGGATGCACATGACTGCATGAAAGCTGGTATGTGTTTTCAACAAGCCCTTGTTCATTGAGCTCCACAATGGTCTTCTGCCCACAGACGGCACAGATACTGCCTGACAAACTTCTTGTGTACATCCCGCCGACATTGTAGAACTGTTGAGGGGAATGCACAGAGCACCACTGGAAAGGTGAGCACACGCCCTAGAACAATGCTACAGTGGGGGTAAGGTTTTCAGGCAAACCCCTGCTGAGCCCCGAATGGACCCAAAGTACATTGCTAGTTATAACCTCCAGTCTAACCTCTCCACTAAGGAATCCTTCATGACGAACAGTTTTTATCTGGGGCTGTAGTTCAGAATTACACGGGAAGCTTTTTAAAACGTACTCAGAGCCTGACTCTTCCTTTTATTTTCCTGGAGATTCTGATTCATAGCTCTGGAGTAAACCCAGGCACCTCTATATATCAGTTTCCCCACATAGTTATAGTATGTATGTGCGCGCGCGCGCACACACACACACACACACACACACACACACGCATGCACCATCAGTTCAGGTCACTGGTGGCTGTGCCAATGGCTTGAGGCAGTGGATTTTATCTGTTTGGTAGTTGAAGTGATGACAGAGGATGGGTGAGATGAGATGAGAAGTTTCCAGAAAGTTGGTGCTTAAAGACTTGGTTGTCTTGCCAACTTCTTCTTCCTGGTCCACTGGAGAAAAGAGTACATACAACCCTTCTCTTCCTCTCTTGTCCATAAACAGCACAAGAGGCTTTGGGAATTTTTTAAGAGGGTATGGTTTCTGTTTTTTGTTGGAGGAACTGGGAGCGAAAAAGTTCCCTCCTTCGTTCACTTTAAATCTTATAAGAAAGGCAGCTGTCACATAGATACACATGGCAGAGGAATTCTAAAAAGTATCTCGTGCCAGTGTTTCACTACAGAAGCTGGATTCCAGGCTCTACGAAAAGAGTGAGCTAGAGCCTATGGAGCTGGGGAAAAGCAGATGGAGTAGAGATAATATCAAGGTCATGTCCACTCAGTCCTGCCCCATAAATGAAGACAGAGAAAAACAGTCCAGAAGTTCACTCTTGCCACTCACACTAGTTTTTCCATTTCATATCTGGCTATGTACCAAGAGACTAGTGGAGGACAGAGATGCTGAATTCCTGAAACTACTAGGTCATCCCTGGAACCCTTGGCTTGAAAGTGTTTAAGAGATGTGCGTGTGTCGGACACAGACGAATGTTCCTAATATCTGAATCTGGAATGCATCTAACCAGAAAGTATGTTCATTCTGAGTTTTTATTTTTTAAAGAGAGTTTAAAAAAACTATTAGTTTTTCCTTTAATTCCAGGGAATAATATATAGTCAGAATACATTTAGCACACTTTTTATATCTTCTACTTCAAATGCTATACAATAATAACTAATTTTTACAATGGGTATTACCCTGAGGCACTGGTTGATTTTAAAGTGTTTCATGTGCATCAAATATGACTTTTGCTTGCATTAGGCAGAGATAAACATTTTATTATTGTTTAATTTTCACTAATCTTTGAAATGTTGACAATTGGAGTATGCTAGATATGGTTACTTCCAAATAATTAATGGATTAAAGGATGCCTATTTCCCAACCACTTTATATAAATAAGAAATGCATTTTCTAATTAATTAGCAAAGACAATTTTTGATGCAAGGAGAATCCGAGGAGCAATCGGGCTTAGAGAACCAAAAAAAAAAAAAAAGATTTATCTATTTCTGAAGATGGGTACAAATGTGGTATGAGACCATTTCTCCACATACCATAAATGGTACAAAGAATAAAAATAAAAGCGACACTTACCCCTACAGTAGAGCCATGTAATCAGGACAGATCTCTGCAAAGTCTCTCCCCGTTATGCCATAGTAGAGACCATAGAACAAAGACACAATGTCAAAATCCATGGACTCTCTAGGCTTGATCCCACTGAAAACAACAGTGTAAGGAAGTAAGAATGTGGCTGGGGAGGGCTACAGCTGGGAAGATGTTCCCTGGCATGTATCTAACAGGACCTGGGGGTGTTCTTTTATCCCACTGGTTTGAGTAGCTTTACTTTTTATTAATAAAATAATTTTAAATTCTCTAAATTTCCCCAAAATTTTACCGCTCAGTGCTAAGTGGAAAGTAATTCTTGAGAGAGTCTTCAAATGCTTCTTAGGACCACAGCTCTTAGACAAGCAAACTCTACCTGATGGTTCTCAGGCTGGCCTGAGCATGGAAAGACCTGGGCAGTTTGTAAAAATCTCCATCTTCTGGCTGTACCCAAGGCCAATTACATTAGACTCTCTGGGGATGGGGCCTGTGCAGCAAGCAATGTTTTGGGACTCTCTCCAGACCCCAATGTATCCCAATGGGCAGGTGATATCTTAAACTTTTTAAACTGAGCAATAGTTCTTAGCCCTAAATATAGATTAGAATCACTTGGGGAGGTTTAAAACTCTACTGACACATGAGTACACCTTCAAGGGCTCTAATTTAAGTGGCCTGGGGTGGGTCTGCACGACAGTGTTTTTTAGGAGCTCCTAAGGTGACTAGAACAGCTAGGGTTAAGAATCCTGCTATAGAGCTAAGATTTTACAGAAAGCTTTCACATTCTTTATCTTACCTGAAAATATTTGAAATAGATACAAGAATCAATCTCAAATTTTGAGGCCTTTTGCTACCGTGCTATAGTTGTCATGTATTAATAAAAATTTTTTGCAAGTTGGATCATATTTCAAATATAATGATTTTCTATGATAATCCCTCTTTTTCTTTTATGAGAAAGATCTCTTTAAAAAGTGAATAATGAGCACCTAATTTAATTTCTGAATCTTAATCATTGCACATTTAGTTTGCTATATCAGTCAACAGTCTCAGTAATTAGCAATGGGCCTGACTGAGTCAGGGAGGGAGTGGGGAGGAGAGAGGGGTTGGGTAGTCTGTCTCCAGAACCTTCTTCTGGGTATTTTTGTGCTCTGTTAGTTTGAAAAGGAAATAGAAGGGCAGGGAACTTTGTAGACTTAGAGGGTACAGATCTCGTGGTGATGTGAATTGGGAATTCCAACACAGGTGGAGGCTTCCATCCTTTCAAGATCTGCCTGGGTATATTTGAGAACCAGGACGGTGGGGAGAAGTGAAGATTATCTTCCCTCCACGTCCAGGGGAGCATGTATTTATAATCTTATTGATAAAGAGTATAGTAACAAACTCATGGTTCCACTGAAAAGAATCTTAATACAATGATGATCAACAACACTTAATAGTGAAAAAATAACTCCTTCCCAATCTGAAAGGTTGAGTCCTTGGTATGCCTCGTTGTAGGAGAAGTCATGGTGAAGGGTCCTAAAATCTCATAATAGTGTGGGGACAATGGTAGTTTCAAGTGATTTAATAAAAGTCCTTATAAATATTATTATGTTCACTAGAAGTAATACAGACAGTATGCTTAAAAAAAGAAATCAGGGTCTACCTATGTCTTAAACCAGCCATAACAGATCTGTACAGTTACTTTCTATTCCTTTCCTGTCAGATAAGGCAGGAGCTCCTGCTCTGAGTTTCATGAAATGCTTATAAAATGAGATTGTGCTGTGGCCTCAGGAAGAGCCTTCCCCACCAGGGCCAGCTCCATCCCATTGCCTTCCTTATTTTACAAGTTAAAAGTTGCCGATCTCTGCCTTTTGATTTCTGTTATGGTCCCAGAGATTTAGAGTAACTTCAGTGGGAGAGAGATTCTGGGGAATTTTTATTTGAGCTGCGTTCCATAGTTACGTGGTGTGTCTTAAATTCCCTTTCACAGGACACAGGTCGGTTGCTCAGCCTCAGCTCTGCTGGCAAGGACCTCGCCCACCCCACGTCTCAACGACCATCTTCCTAATGAGAGCTTAGTTCTGAGTCGTGGATATCACTATCCTGATTTCCTTCATTTCTCCCAAGATTTTCTTGCTCTGTTATCTTTTTACCTCTCTTTCAATTTCTGTGCCCTCAGTTTCCTCCTTCTCCAACTATCCCCAGTCAAAAGGATTTCATGTGTACCAGAAACAAAACTCTAGAACAGTGTTGTTCAGTGGATATAGACTGGACATACATAGAAAGTTAAAACTTTTCTAGTAGCCGTATTAAAAAGGTAAAAAGAAACAAGTGAAATAATTTCACCAGTACATCCAAAATACTATCATCATTTCAACATGTAGCCAATATAAAAATTATTTTTGCATACTGTCCTTGACAACAAGTGTGTATGTTACACTTGTAGTACATCTTCCTTCATATTTTAAGTGCTCAACGGTCACATGAGCTGGCAGGTATTGTGTTGGATAGCATCGCTCTAGAGGTTTTAAGGAAGAAGATATATAGAAGGAAATGACACCAGAATTTTGTGGAAGAGAAAATTGTGGTTCAGTAAGAATTACTTTACCACAAATGTAGGGCTACTTTTAATGGTGATCTTTTAAATTTGCAGGTCAAGTATAGTTTCTCTTTAAAGCTTACATATATTTTTTGAGGGCACACAAGCAGATTTTGTCACACTTGGCATTCTGCTTAGAATAATACATTTCAGTGACAGCAAAGTCTTGCATGATGTATAAAGCCAATATTCATAGTGCTATATTTAATTTTGATGAAGTTTAATATGTTTCCTGTTTTAAAAGAAAGTTTTGCCATGGCTATGACATTTATTTAGTGCTTTGCTGTTGTCTCTGAATATCACATCTAGTTTTTTCTTAGCTGTTTTTGAAATGCTTTAGCTTTAATGCCTGAGGTTGTAGTAAATGATAGTATTTCTTTGTACCCTAAACAAACATGTTTTTTTAAAAAATTAGTAAACATATAAATCCAAGGTAAAAAACTAAATAACAAAATGCATATCATATTTTCATTGGAAAAAAGGAATATATCCATAAAGAAAGTATGCTAGCTTTAATGTACTTATAATAAAAGATGCATAAAACGTGCTAGTTTTCATACACCTATAAGAGAATCAGAAAATGAAAAATATTCATTTTGTCATAAAAGTTGTTACATGCATTGATATCTTCTTAGTAGTCTAATAGTACTGATTCATGTGGATTATTAAACTGTATAATTTTCTTTGGAATATTCTTTTTCTAGGTGGAGTAAAGAGGGATGTTTTAAAAAAGCAAATAAACAAGAAGCATCTTAGTAAACTTAAATGTAGGAAACAAATTAACTACCCTGAAATCATTCTTTTGCTCGAGTATCATCTTTTACTAACTAACATATCTTAATCACTTTTTTGAACAAAAAGGAAAGAAATTGACTGAATTTATTCAGGTCTTTGATATTTAAGTAGGAAGAAGGAAAAAGTTGCTATTGGCCCTTTGAAATTAATTTATATTTTCAAAGCTATTATAAATTCAAAGTTTATATATTTAATAACCAGATTTTCCAACTTAGCTTTTTGAAAAAATGATAAACAAATCACAAAGCAATTGATGATAATGGACCTTTACTTTGGAATTCGCATAGTTAAATTTAAAATGCTGTACTACATGTATTTTTCATTTATGATAGATATAATCTGGAATGAAGAATTTCCCTAATTTCCATGGAAATCTAAAAACGTATTGGGAAATCTGTTTTTCAAAAATGTTGCCAGAGAGTCATTTATTGCATTAAAGCTGATAATTTTTTGAAAAAGTTTTATTCTGTAGGGTTCTCTCCTTTCTTGTGGTTTTCCCCAGTGACATCTACTATGCTAGTGAAATCTGCTGTGAGCAGTATATGCATGGAAAACGGCAGGGCCAGGTGTGGCTTGCAGATACAGAGAACTCGACCAAGTTAACCTTATAAGCAAATGCTTAGAGATATTAATATCTTCATTGGAGATACTTATTTGAAAAATAAATGTAGTCCACACATTGTAAACATGATAACCGAGTAACCCACAACACCAAGTGCATAGCTGACTTTGTAGATTAGAAGAAACCATTTGTAGACCACTCTTTGGAGTGAAAAATGGGGAGAAACACAGAGCATGATATATTATAAAGTATTTTATCTTCTTCAAACATTGTCATAAGGCAGGTTTTAGTTTCTAAAATTGTATTTTCTGTGTAATATACAGAACATAAGTATATTATATCAGCTAAACTCAGTAGTAATCTAGAGTTTTAATATACTATCAACAAGCAGTATGTGAATAGTACTATCATGTACGTGTGTTTCTATGTTTATGCGTGTATAAATTCGTTGTAAATTTATCTGTGTTCCTTATGTGAAAACGGCCTTCGGGAATGGTTACTCCACCTGGGATCCTGTCCCCCTCCCCCTTTCCTTTACTCATTTGTCTCCAGGGTGCTTTGGGCAGGAGCACCTTGGAGGCAAACAAAGACGGGAAGAGAAGTCAAGAGGGGAGACCACCTCCCCCAGGAGTTTCTTCCTTCCTGCTCCTGCTGGCCCCCAGGCCCAACGCAGGGATCCTCAGCCTTCATCCCGTTTCCTCTCCATTGAAGCGCCCCTTCCTCAGCCATGGGATAAAATTGCAAGAGAGCTTCAGCCTTGTTTTCCTCTGCCACGCAGATGGGTCTTTTGTGCATCACACTCACCATGACCATCCTAAGGCCTTTCCTTCTTCCCATGACCATCCTAAGGCCTTTCCTTCTTCCCACAGGGCCTCAGTGGAGAAGTGAGAGGATGCGGTGGAGGGTGAGAGTAGAGATGATCTAGAGGGGACCCCTGTACCCTGTTTGTTCCTCTCATCCCTGGCAGTAGAAGCCCTTAGAAAAAACTACAGAAAGGGCCATGTGGTTGCTTCCTGCCTGGGATGATGTGCGAAGAGCTGGAGCCATTTATTCCTGATGTGTACAAAAGCCCTGCCTACTGGAACAGGAAGAGGTAGTGGAAGGAGAAGGAGCAGCTGGGCGGCTATCCTTAGTATCCAGAGACAATATGGGGCTGGCTGGCTGGAGTGTTCTCAAGGGCAAACAATGGCAGGAGGCTCAGTTTGCCCCTAAGCCCTTTCTTTTCCCATCCTCCTAAAGCCCCTCTCCTGCCTTCCATACAAAATTTCATTCAGGGTCTCACTCCAGAGACTTGGCCCCACCCTGTCCCCTTCCCAGGCTTCCTCCCTGTTGGAGCCATTGTACCAAATGCTTAAGTTCTATGGTATTCCTGGTGTAATGTTTCAGTGTTATTTTACAAGATACTCTGTTTCACCAAATTCCAGTCAGAGCGGACCTTCTCAAACATTATGGTTCAAATGGGGTTTGTGGGTTAGCCTGAGAAATGAGTTGTCATTTACATCATTTCTCTGGTGAAATGCTTTCCCCACTTCAAGCAACTCACACGCAGGGGCTGTTGGGTGGCACCTCTTCCTCCAGGTGTACTCCTGCCCGTGGGAGGGGTCAGCAACGAGTCGTGGGTGAGTTGCATGGAGCCAGAAACTCACAGGGCTGCACAAGGTGGCTCAAGTGGCTGTGAGGCAGTGTCATCCCTAAAGGGGACCAGGGACAGCTTTTGGGGCCTTTCTCCACAGTGACTCCTTGGATCGTTGGGTTGGTCCTTTTGATTTGCCGGTGCTGACCTGTTTGGATCTTTGCTCAGTGCAGCCAGATGGAGGTGGAAGTTTGTGTCTCAACAGGGAGGTGATGATGAGAAAGGTGAGAGGATCTTCCAGAGTGGGGTTCCCTGCATTCTACGTATAGTCCATGTACCCTCTCTCTGCCTGAGGGGCCCTTCTCAAGGTGGTGCCGGCATCAGAGGTGCTCCTGACTAACAACTTTTCTAAATGTAAGGTTTCCTTGCAAATGGGGTTTGCTGATGTAATTAAGCCACAGCATGCTGTTGGGAGCAGGGCTTTGCATGTCTTTGGTTTGATTCTGGGCTCTGCCGCTTACTGCCTATGGGACCCTGGCCAACCTACTTTGCATTTCTTCCTATAATTGCTCCTTTATAATAAAGTGAGAGTGATAACATCAGCTCCTAAAATAGTTCTGAGGATTATATGAATTAATGTTTAATAGACTTGGCCCATTAAATGCTCAATATGTCATATTATTGTTATGGATGTGTTAGATTTTCCAAATCTCGCCCCCTAAACCTTCCTGCTTATGGGGGGTGGTACACGTTTTTAGAGCGCTAGAGTCCAGACTCCCCTTGCTGATCTGATTGCATGGGAAGGCAGATAAGCTGGAAGAGAAATTGTGTTTGTGCCTCAGAGTGGCGTCCACAAAGGACAGCTTGGCCTTAGGCTGGAGCTGATGTGATCAGACCCAGCTCTCTGTGGCATGGAGCTGTTTGGCCTGTTTCTGAACCTGAACATTGCTTGGCAGACAACTTGACTGTAGTCAAGAGGAACCCGACTTCTCTCCAACTGTCCCGCGGCTGGGACGTGCTGTACTCGGGGGAGGAACAGTTAGTTGGTTTTCAGACTGCACTGGCACTGGGGACCGCCTCTCTTGGATTTGCCTTCTGTACTGTGTGGATTTGTTTGACTGGCTTTCTCAACTTGTAATGAAGTCCTCCACTTCCAAATGGAAAATGGCTAGGAAGTGATGTGCCTATAATATGATTAATCAAATCCATAAAAATCCTTAGGGCCTACTACCTCTCATCAATAGGAGTTTCTTTATCCTGACTGCTTTTCTAGAAGAAAAGGGACCCTAATTAGCTTCTCCCATTGTTTCTCTTCAAATGTCAGCTGGGTCTGCTTAAAATGTTAGTGGAGCATCTTGGCCCTCAGACTATGCCAGCCAGAAATCAGAGCTGTGCAGGCAAGGAGAAGCTGTAATGGGTGCACCGTGGGCATGAGAAGCAAAGGGCATGGACTCTGAGATGTATGAATCAGGAGTCGGACGAGGTAGTATTTGGGTATTTCCTATAGAGAAGTTCCTCTTTATTCAATATGCTGACATGTATAAAAATAGTACGTTTAGCTGGGGTAATTCATTATACAGTGGAAAAGTGATCTGATATCACTGAAATACAATATAATTATATCCAGGAGATGAAAACAAGTACATTTCAATTCATCCAAAACTTAGATTGCTTCACAAGTCTTAAATAACTTATAATACTTCGTGAGAATGAGGAAGGGTACCAGCTGTCCATTTACAGATGGGTAAACCAGGCCCTACAAAGGCTGTCTAAGACCCTGAACTGGCCAGTTAGAAGGTCTCCTAACAACACCCCAGAACTCTTCCCAAAGTGGGATTAGATTAAAATACTCATAACCTGAATTCATTCATTTGAATTTCAGTCTTTATCATTACTTTAAATATCTAATTTCTCTTGCTTCATATTTTTCCTTCTCCATACTAGAAGAAAAAGTTGATTTTATCTCTCCCATTTTTTTAGAGAATTAACAAATATCTAAATGGCTACATAATCATAAAAATATTTCACAAGAGTTATAATTTATTCTCTGATGATCAAAATTTAACATTGTCTAATTACTATTAAACACTTTAGACATTTATTTTTTAAATAAATTTAACATTGTCTAATTACTATTAAACACTTTATACATTTTTTAAGAAATTTTTTTAGGCAAGGCAACCCTTGGTTGACCTCACAGATTGCAAGGACCTTGTCAGCTTACCATCCCTTATTTTTTATTTTTCATGCCTACAGCACCTGGTCTTCCTAGGTGGTCTCCCATCCAAGTACTAACCAGGCCCAACCCTGCTTAGTTTCCGAGATCAGATGGGATCAGGCTTGTTCAGGGTGGTATGGCCATAGACTTATACATTTTCTTTTTGTCCCATTTCAGTTTTATCTGGATTTGGATTCTTATCTGAAGAACAAGGAGAGCAAGTGCAAACTTGGTGGGCATGTTATAAGCACTTTGGAAAGATTTGTGAAAGATATGGAATTATATAAATGTCAGGAGGTTGGCAATGGTAATTAAAATGATCACTGGAATAGTAAAGCCTTGTTTGTTACGAAAGTAATAGGTTGTCCATTATAATTTATCAGCTATAAACCTTACACATAGTTGTTAGAAGTATGAACTTCTCTTTCTCAGTTTTAGAATGTGCATGACATCTCACAGTGGAATAAAAAAACGCTGCATTAAAAATAAACATGCAAATCGTGCTCTGGAAAACTTATAAGTTTCACTTCTCTTTCTCCTGGCCTTCACTAGCTAACATTCAAAATAATAAACTTTACAGGCATGTCTGAATCACCATTAAATAATGAATGTGAACTGATAGCAGTATAGCTAATCTCCAGCTAGTTTTGCTACTGAAGGCAAAAGAAGTGTAGCATGCTCCTCCCACACATGGAAAAAACGGAATTAAATATACTTTTAGTGTTGATAGCGAAGGGGATGGTGGGGAAGGAACCAATGGAATGCTTACCGTGCGTTCTTTCTGAGAGGGGACTTCGGGTAGCTCTGAAGAGGATATAACTGGTGATAAGTGAGAACATTCCCTACATAGACAGAAACCACCACCACTGAAGTTTTATTGTGAAATACACAGGGACAGTCCACGTCTGCAACAGAGTCACCAGCTGTTAGAGAAAAGTACAGAAAGTCTTTTTCAATGACTCAGTGCCCAGAACAGCATGTCCATTATTAAACAATTCAGAAGCTACTCTGGGGAAACCGCTTACACCACCACGTCTGTAATGTACAACTGGTTCACCGTCCAACTGCGATCGGCACAGTTATCTGAAAATTCAAACAGGAAATAATCCAAAATATCCAGCTTCTGTCCCCCCTTTTCTCTGGATATTTCAGATGAAAGCAACTTTAGGCTTCAACAGCTATGCGACTATGGACAAGTTGCAAAATTGGGGATAACAATGCCCACCTTGCTTGCTTGTGCTGCCTGAGGCGGGGGTATCAAAGGAAATCATAGATGAGAACGTGCTAGGTAAACAGTACTGTACTGTGTGGAGCCTGGGGGCTGTTGTTATGATCACTGGCACATGTGCAAATGCACGGTGATCACAAAGGAGGAAGTGGTGTCAGAGCAGCTCCTGGGACTTCTCCTACCTGCTGTCCATTGCATTCTGTGGGGTTAACCCTTACATCCCAATTGTGGGGTTACCTTGCCCTTGACTATTAGATTTGCAACCCATCATTTGCTTCTTATCTTTATTCTTTAGTTTCTGGTGCCTTTCCCAGGCAGCCCTAAGATGCGGATCAGACTCTTTCCTGTTCCTCTATATTTAACCCCTTTGTGGCTTATATCACTGACTTGAATCCAAGTAGCTTTAAGACGATTCTTTAAGTTGTCTGGCTTCAATCCCGCATGGCAGGAAGCAAGGCTGCATTGGTGGGCTGTGCGTCATTGACTTAATACAGTTTTCATAGTGACACCTCTTTAGGTCAGACATAAAACCAGCTATTCTCTCTTGTGGAAAGCAGACAGGTTTAAACCATAGCAATAATCTGTGGTCTTTTACGTTTTATCACATTTAGACTAACCACCTATTATTTGCTCAGCACCAATGTAAGAGGCAGATGACAAAAAGATTTCGTCTCTATACTTGGACTTGACTTAGTAGTGGCACCTGGCAATGCTCTGTTGAGGAGGATTCTAAACCTGGGTCCTTGGTTTCATGGTAAAGAGTATCATGATCATTTAATTATGTCTGCTAGTGACGTGGAAAGAGTTGTTAGAACATGCATGTCACATATTTGACATCTGAGTCTTAAAAAAAATGATAGCATTTTTCTTTTCATTCTCTTTTTATTGCTCCATCCCCATAAATGACCTGGATCTGAAATCTTCTCAGAGCTGCTCTAAGTCTTCTTTCAGAGAGAACGGCTGTTCTTATTATACACATGCATTCGAACAAAAGTACACATGGAGCGAATCTGAGAACTATCTAGAGGGTTCAGTAAAAAATGCCCTAAAACCTACGTTTTTGCTTTTGAATTCCAGGCAGTACTTTCAAGGAAGAGTAGATATTCTTTAGCCTGAATTAGTCAGATAATTGCTTTACCTTTCTATCCTACTTTGTGGGGAATGGTCAAAGCTAATTATTCGGATATATATATCCGAATAGGAAAAACTGGCTTTCCTTAAGGAAGTAGGAGAGTTTTCATGAAGGCCAGAAACCGTATGCTGGGTAACCAGACTCAGGAGATGCTCCCTTTAGCACTCAGCTTTAGTAACTTTGACCCTCTACTTTTGATCATAAAAGAGTGCGGCTCCTTAAAAAATCTCATCAGTATTTTGGCCATTCATTTCCTTTTGCTGAATATGGAAATAGTTATCTATGATATATTATAGATTTTGACATTTTTTTAGTTCATTACTTCTGATATTAAAGAAGGAAATGGACACAATCTCCATTTTCAGAATTAGATCACCTGTCATTTGCATTTTTCATCTTACTGTTTTAAATATTTGATTCATCTTTTTATTTCCCCCATAAGAATGCTGAAGTTTTTAAAATAAAAAGTTAAGAGCCAGTTATTTTAATTTAGTGAAACTACCGTGCTCTTACATTTAATGCTTTAGGTTATAAGCCAAAATTTATAAGGCTAATCCATTTCCTCAAATCGGTGGAGTTATAATCTATGATAGTTTGAATCAACTATTGGACTATCTTTTTTATAAAACTAGTTCTCTCTGTATGCATCTATAAATACAACCCATTTCTAGAAGATTTCAAATTTTTCTTACTTGATGGCTGGATTTAATTAACAGTGAATAACAATGTTCAAATATATAGACCTGCTGCTTCTTAAAAATAGGCCTTGGAGATCAGAAATAAAAGGAAAGCAAAAATATCATTATAATGTATTATATACACAAATATTTAATTTCTTAACTATCTTCAAAGTGTAAACCCAGAACCATATTTCTCAACACTCAAGGGGAAAGGGCAGAAATTTTCATTATGAATTCAATAATTGTATGAAAAGTCATTTTGAAATGAGGGTTACATTTCATTGTAATTTAAAAGATTATCAATTTCCAGAGCAGTTAAAACTTTTCATTTTTAATAGTAACTGCCACATATGAAATGTAGGTATACTGTGCCTCATAAATAAACACAGGAAATATGTGAAATTGAGGTGAATGCATGCAATGAAGGAAGCCTGGCAGCTGGGACACATGAATCATACCAGAGGGGTCACCACCTGGGCATGTGGGTGTATGAAACACACCTACATGACTGGCGAAGAGCACCTGGGTCACATCATCCGCGTCCTATATCATGCAGGAGGAATATCCTGATGAATCGAATGCTGCCCAACAGTACCATGTTTTTTTCTTGTAGCCGTGCAAAAATGAATCTGAAAAGAATTGCAAATCAATTAAAAAAAGATATCTTTTATTTATTTATTTATTTTCAAGCCTACAGTATTTATTTATTTATTTATTTATTATTTATTTTCAAGCCTACAAGCACCTGGTATTCTTAGGTGGTCTCCCATTCAAGTACTAACCAGGCCTGACCCTACTTAGCTTCCGAGACCAGGCGTGTTCAGGGTGGCATGGCCATAGACAGATTCATTAAAAAAAAATGATATCTTTTAATTTGTCTCTTTGTATAGGATGATGAATGGGTCCTGCAATAAGAAAGGAAGGGAGAGAGGGAGAGTGGGAGGGAGGAAGGAAGGAAGGAAGGAAGGACGGAAGGAAGGAAGGAAGGAAGGAAAAGGAAGGAAGGAAGGAAGGAAGGAAGGAAGGAAGGAAGGAAGGAAGGAAGGAAGGAAGGAAGGAAGGAAGGAAGTTATGTATGTGATGCTGATTTCCTTTGCATTGCAAATCCCAAACTATTGTACGTGTGTCTGTGTGTATTCGTACGGGAGGGGGTGGAGAGAAGAGATGCTAGAGGTAAGCAGGAAATGATCATAAATGACTCCAGAAAATATTGCTGTTATCACTACAAAGGCAATGAAGAAAAGTGTGGACATAAATCGAACATGTAAAATTATAGAATCTTGGCATATGAAGGATTCTTAGAAATTCACTTGGTCCATATTTCTATCTTCCAATCAATTCGGACTGTTGATTTTTTCACCATTAAATATAATGTTAGCCATAGGATTTTTGTAGATATTCTTTATCAAGTTGAGGAAGTTCCCCTCTATTTATAGTTTGCTGAGAGTTTTTATACAAATAGATGTTGGACCTTGTCAAATGCTTTTTCTACATCTTTAATATGATCACATGATTTTTCTTCTTGAGCCTCTTGGTGTGCTTGATTACATCAATTGAATTTTAGTTGTTGAACCAATCTTACATACCTGGAATAAATCCCACTTGGTCATGGTGTATAATACTTTTTATACATTTTTTAATTTGAGTTGCTAACATTTTGTTGAGAATTTTTACATTTATGTTCATGAGTGACGTTGGTCTGTAGTTTCTCTTTCTTGTAATGTCTTCATCTGGTTCTGGTATAAGCATAATGCTAGTGGCAAAGAATGCATTCTGATGTGTTCCCTCTGCTTCCACTCTCTAGAAGAGATTGTAGAGAAGTAGTATAATTCCTTCCTTAAATGTAGAATTCACAGTGAAACTATCTGGGCTTGGTGCTTTCTTTTTTTGGAAGGTTATAAATTATTGATTCAGTTTTTAAAAATAGATGTAGGCCTATCGATATCTGTTTCTCCTTGTGTGAGATTTGATATAGTTTGTGTCTTTCAAGGAATTACCCTATTTTATCTAAGTTATCCAAATCTGTGGGCATTGAATCATTCATAATTTCTTTTATTTTCTTTTTATGTCCATGTGATCAGTAATGATAACCCCTTTTTCTTTTCTGATATCAGTAATTTGTGTTCTCAATCTTATTTTTCTTAGCTAAAGGGTTATTAAATTTATTAATCTTTTCAAAGAACCAGATTTTGGTTTCACTGAGTTTCATATTGATTTTATCTTTAATTTAATTGATTTCTGCCATTATTATTATTATTATTAATTTTACCATTGTTGTATAGCTTATTCTTCTTCCTGTAGTTTCCCAGGGTAGATGCTTAGATTACTGATTTTAGATCTTTCTTCTTTTCTAATGTATACATTCAATGCTATAAATTTTCCTCTAAGTACTGCTTTTGCTGCATCCCACATATTTTGATATATTGTATTTTCATTTAGTTCAAATTATTTTTAAATTTCTCTTGAGTCCTCTTCTTTGACTCATGTTATTTAGTGTTTTTGAGATTTTTGCAGCTTTCTGTTATTGATTTCTAGTTTAATTTTTACAGTGTGAGAGTAGACAGTTGACCTTGAACAATGTGTGGGTTAGAGATATCAACTCCCTCCCAGGCAGTTGAAAATATGCGGATAACTTAAGTCGGCTCCCCAAAATAAGCAGGTTCTGAACCGAGGACAGAAGATGCTGTTTTCGATCTATAGTTGACTGAATCCACAGATGTGAAACCCAGGGATGCAGAGGGCTGAGATATATTTAATTTTAAAAAATCTATGTATAATCTGTGGACCCATGCAGTTCAAACCTGTTTGTTCAAGGGTCAACTGTACGTCGTATGATTTCTATTCTTTTAAATTTGTTTTGGTGTGTTTTATAGCCCAGAATGTAGTCTATATTGGTTAATGTTCCATGTAAGCTTGAGAAGAATGTATATGCTGCTGCTGTTGGGTGAATTATTCTATGAAATTCAATTAAAGTTGGCCAACCACATTCTCACGATTTTCTGCTTGCTCGACCGACCTACTAATGAAAGAAGCCATTGCAATCTCCAAATACAATGGCACGTTTGTCAATTTCTCCTTGCAGTTCTATCAGTTTTTGCCTCGTATATTTCGATGCACTGTTGTTAGGCACATCTAGATTAAGAATTGTTATGTCTTCTTGAATAACTGACCCTTTTATCATTATGTAATTCTCCTCTTTATCCCTGATAATTTTCCTTGTTTTAAAGTCTGCTTTGTCTGAAATATAGCTTTCTTTTGATTAGTGTTAGCATGACACATCTTTCTTCAAACCTTTACTTTTAACATGTCTATATTTTTATGTAATAAGTAAGTTTCTCTAGAAAGTCTATGCTATTTTGCAGATAAGGAAAGTGTTTAGTGCGTTTATTTTAATTGACAGGAAAATAGTGATATGGCAGCAAATTGATGCATTTGCTTAAAAACAAAAAACAAGATTCTTCTTTTTAAGTAAAATATTCAAAATTGGCTAAACTTAAGTATTATACAGAACTCAAAAGAATTCCCGTAGGCCCTGTGCTATCTAGAAAATAATTTTTATGATGGGTAAAAAGAAAATTAAATACCGGTCTAAGCTAGCACTTCATATGTCATGGGCAAGTCTTCTTACACAATGACCAGTCTGAGACCCAGAACCATATAGAGTGTTAATTGGGGACCTTTTCCCTTTGCAACGAGTCTAAACCACTGGTTATCAATATGTGGTCCCAGGACCAGTAGCATCAGCACCACCTGGGGACTCGTTAGACATGCAAATTATCGGGCCCCTATCGAATCAAAAACTCTGGGAGTGGGACCTGAGAATCTGATTTAACAAGCCCTCCAGGTGAGTCTGATGCACCCTAAGATTTGAGAACCCCTGATCTAAATATTGTAAATGCAAGAACTCAGGTCCAGCAAGGCCCAGGGGATAACTGTGAGGTGGCAGAGTTCTAGTGGACATGCTCAGATGGGGGTGGGCTATGAAACTGGGGTGGTACTCTGTGTGGCTGAGTCAGTGCAGTGTTTGCATCAGGTCCAGCAAGGCCCAGGGGATAACTGTGAGGTCGTGAGATGGCAGAGTTCTAGTGGACATGCTCGGATGGGGGTGGGCTATGAAACTGGGGTGCTACTCTGTGTGGCTGAGTCAGTGCAGTGTTTGCGTTAACATGCCTCCATGGATATGCAAACCATCAGTTCTAAGACAGTTCATTGTTAATGAAACAAAGTTAGACAGCCTCAGACTTTTGTTTCTGCTATATCTAAACTTCCCTGGGCCACTGGCAGAAGTTATTCATGCACAAAAGGAAAATTGGCTTACTTAAACCAGGGCTTCTCAACCGTGGCACAGATGACGTTTTTGTTGCGAGGGGGTGTCCTGTGCGTGTTGAGCAAGCACCATGCCTGGCCTCTGCCCTCTAGATGCCTGTAACACGTCCCAATCCCTGTCTCCTCCCAGTAAGGTATGAGAATAAAAATTGTTTCCAGATGTTGCCAAATATTTCCTGGGAGTAAAAGAGCACACAGTTGAGAACAACTAACTTAAATCAAACCATTTCCTTCAAAGGGGTGAAAAAGGAAGGATGTGGCAGCAAGAGGCACAGGCTTCCTGCGGCCACCAGGGTGACTCACATTGTAGGACCGGCCATGCCTCTGTCTCCACTGCACCAGCACTACCTGGGCAATGATCAGGGTGGAAAAGAGAATCAACATCATCTCCACGTGCATGGATTCGTGGCTCTGGTGTACCTTGTACATCCTCTCTTGCTGCAGGCTGGAACCAGCAAACGAGTTCATCTGAACATGGCCTCATTCTTTGCACATTTAGCAAAAAAATAAGCTGGGCTCATAGGAAACAACTGGAGTTTCAAATGTAGGGTTTTTAAAGCTTTCATGTTTTTCTTGATTTCTCTCTTTCCCCTGAGTGGAGGCGCCTGAGTTTATCGGCAAAACCAATTCTCTCAGCTCTTAGCTTCCATGTGGTTTTGGCCTATGCCTTGTCCTTGAAAGTTAAGCGGGCCCTGGAAAGACCCGGGTTCCAGTCTTGATCTGCCACTTCATCGCCATATAGGCTTTCTAAAGTCACTTATGGTCTATGAGCCTCAGTTTCCTCATTTGCAAATTTAAAATAACAATCCCTTTGTACCTCACGGGATTGCTTTAAAACTGCAAAGCATGTATGTTATTTTATTTGTCCCTACATGAGGAATAATAATCACAATTGTTAGTTTGAATCATATAAAATCGCCATTTCTGAAAGTCAAAATAGTAAAATATTGGTCATTTTAACTAATTTCTAATATTCTCAAGTAAAAGGATATCCTACAGATGGTGCCTATGAAGAGAATATTATCCATGGGGCTACAGAAAACTCCTGAGTGAGTTGTGTCAACTGTTTTCATTCTGAGAAGACAGATGAGGGCTAAGAATTATCTTAGATAGACACACACATTCGGATGATGGCCGACTGTTTAAGTTTTTAATTGGACTCTTAGTTTTGCACAATGGTAGAGAAAATCACTAAGGTAGGATGTCATCTGTTTTAACTTCCTATAGTAGAAGTGGCCTTGAAGAAAGCCTAGAGCAGTGGTTCTTGGCCTTGGATGTAAGTTAAAATCACCGGGGAGCGTTTAAAAATCGCAATACCTGAGACCAATTAAATTAATTAAATGATCAATTCAATGCTATATTAATTAAAAACAGCACTGCCAGGTATTATGGGCTGGATTTTGTCCTCCCAACCCCAAATTCATATGTCGAAGTTCTAACCCTCATTGCCTCAGAATGGGACTGTATTTGGAGATAGGGACTTTAAAAAGGTAATTAAGGTAAAATGAGGTCATTTGGGTGGGCCCTAATTCAATCTGACTGGTGTCTGTATAAGAGGAGACGATTAGGACACAAACCCACACAGAGGAAGATGATGTGAAGACACAGTGAGAAGGTGGACATCTACAAGTCAAAAAGAGAGGCCTCAAAAAAAAAACCCCACAAAAATCGCTGACACCCTGATTTTGGACTTCTAGCCGCCAGAACGATGAGAAAAAAAATTCTGTCTTTGAAGCCTTTCAAGCTCTGGCATTTTGCTATGGCAACCGTAGCAAACCGATAGATTTCTAGGAGGGGATCTAGGCATCAGTAATTTTTAAAGTTCCTGACCCATGTGATTTTAAGATGCAACCAAGATTTAAGAGAACCACTGGCCTAGAGGAAAAGTGGTCCAGGGTCAAGATTAGGGAAGAGGAGGAAATTATGAATACTGACAATCAATTACTTAATAAATATTGGTTAGCATTATCTTACATCCTCAGTAGAGCACTGTCACAAAATCTTTTAAAATTTCCACTTATGACTGTTATGCATTTAGAGTACCAGCCAGAAAACACTGCAGGGTAATACTCTGCCCAAAGACTGATCTTTCAAGGGTATGTGGTTTGGGTTCCACCCCTTTACTCGCATTTCTACAGAGCTAGAAAGAGCAGCAAAGTGCCTCAGAAAAGGGCCCCATCCAAATCCCAGGGGTGCCCCCTGCCGGAGAATGTGCAGAAATGAGCCTACAGAGTAAATTTTCCTGCTTGAGTTCAGCTTCTTTGAGATGGAAGGTATCAGAGATGTACTGAAACCCTTTATTTATCAAACGAAGACACTGAAGTTCAAATCAGGTAATTGACCTGCATAAAATTACATGGCTATTAGTCTCTGAGTTGGAAGCTGAACTTAGGAGACAAGAATGATTTTCTAGAAGCTCGTTAAAGAAAGGACACATAAATCCAACTTTGTGGGATCGCAAAGAGCTGTGGTTTGGGTCTATACTACCTATGTGCATGATGGATATGCTAACCCACTTTCTCTATCCTGGGAAATTTATAAATAAAATGATGACTTCATTTAATTTCTAAAATTATTGAGATGGAAATCTAATTTTTAGTATAACTGATAAAAAAAAGCTAATCGCTTAATTGCACTCATCATCCACAGAAAGCCTTGTTTGAGACAAATGAAAAACGTAAACAGAGCCCTCAAAATTTCCTTGTTTTCTTAGCTTGTATTTCATAGCGTTACATGGGAGACCCAAACCATGAAAAATAGCAATGTTTCCTAGTACTGCAATAATTTAGGATGAAAACCCTAATAAAATGTTTGCTTATGGAATTAAAACACACAGACACACACGCAAACACACACACCAAACAAAACAGTAATCAGGTCACTATTAATAAATATTTGAGAACCAGGTGAGGCTCCATTCAGTTGAAGTTGTAGAGAGTGGCCTACCAATCAATAGGCAGTGTCACCCTGGCTTCTGCAATAAGATGTGTAAATCCAAGAACCCCTAAAAACCATGTTTTGCTGATATCTTAAATGATACCAATGAGTTCAAAGTTTTAGAGACAGCTGACCAGAGACTCTACTCATTTGGAGCATTTTGGTGTCCAGTTAATTTAATTTAAAGCCTGACTCCGGGGAAGGGGGTAATCTGGCCATGACCTTGCAGACTGAGCTGGAGAGCACAGAGACATCCCCAGGAAGTGCTTTTTGGATGATCTACAGAAAACCCACCTGCTGCCTTCTCTTGATCACTGCTAATCCATTATATTTGGCTATTTGAAAGCTAAAAGCTAATCATTTTGCCATTGCTCAGGAGTCTGCTTGAAATGCGGATTTTAATTCAATAGGGCTGGGGTGGGACTGAGACCCTGCATTTCTAATCGGCTCCCAGGTGAAACCTTGGCTGTCGGTCTCGGGATCACAAAACTTTGTTATAGGGGATTAAGGGAAAAGCTGTGAGTCCCTCCTAGGATGGAGTTAACAGAGGGACCCTGCTTTCTGAAGGCAGCGAGTGACGTCAGCCTCAAGGAAGAGCAAATAGCAGCAGCAACAGCGACTCTGCCAGTCTTCCGCCCCTCCTGGTATGCAGGTCTCCATCCACAGCCCCCCTGGATGACTGGGTTTGGAACGGGCAAGGAAGCCAAGGAGTTTCCTTATGGCTTCCTCATTTCAGAGAATAAACCTCAAATGCATAGTGTGGCCCATAAGACCCACTCTCCCTTATCGTTCACTACAAACTTTCATGAACCCCGGATTTCTGAGAGTCATAGTGGATATCCGTGCCTGCCTTTCCCCATGATCACCCCCCAACATTTTTTTTCACCTCTAAGCAATTTGGTCTGCTGTCCCCTCCATCTAGAGTTTATCACCAGGTGGCCATATTTCATCCATCCTCCAAGGCCCAGCTCATATTCCTGTTCCCCGATTGGCCTTGCCCACACCCACCGCTGCCAGGGACAATCCCTTGCCCCTTTGTAAGCTTTCTTCCTACAAAGCTTCACCTGGACCTGTTTCGGAGAAAGTGATCTCTTCCTACCCTCTGAGTTATTTTCGTCTTTGTTTTCCTTTCAGGATGTGAGTTCCCAGAGGAAAGGTCCACCTCTAATCGAACCTCACACACACACCAGGTGAGCACAGCTCCTGGTACCTGGTCACGGCCTAAGAATTGTCCCATGAATGAAAGATAAAGTTAAGGGCTGGGTTTGAAATCACCAACAGCAAAAGGAAGAAAGTGCTAGCTCAATAGCTCCCAACGCTCAAGTATTAACACCTCCTGGGAACAGTTAGACTTGCAAAAAGGATCCGGCCCCATCCAGTAGCTGAGGAGACAGAAATCCGGCGGGGGTGGGGGCAGAGCCCAGCGACCCGCCGTCTAACCAGCCTTCCCAGTGATTCTGATGCACGCTTCAGTTTGAGAACCACAGGCATAGAGTCTAGCCTGATGTGTACTCATCATCCGTCAGCTGCCTTCTTCCAGTGCCCTTGGCCTTCGCTTGGGCGCTGGGGGCTTCTTGGCTGAGAAAGAGGAGGAGAGAGGGGCAGCCTGTAGGGGTGACGGGGAATGGATAGGATGAGCCGATTAAGGGGTGGGTGGTGAAAGGAGGGAAGAAAAGAGGAAGAAGGAAGGAGGGAGACAAATCCGGCGGAGGAGGAGGAGGAGGAGGAGGAGGAAGAGGAGGAAGAAGAGAAGAAGAGAGAGATGGAGAGGAGGTCGGCTTCCTTCGGGTGGGGCGGGGTAAGGCGAACCGCCAGCATCTTCTCTATAGAGGGTCGCCGCCTGCCATCCCGGGTCGGTTGACCCCGCGTGGGGTGGGAGACTTAAAGATTTGCCTCTGCAGCCGCTCAGCTCCTTCGCGAGCCTTAGAAACCCGGCCCAATGTCCTCTCCGCCTGCGCTGCTTGCCCGGTACCTGCTCGTGCTGCGGGGTCGCCTCCAGCACCCCCACGGCCATGCCTCCGCCGCGCAGCGCGGGCTGGGAGGGTCTCGGGGAGTCCGCAGAAGGGGCACCCCTCCGATGTGCTACACCTGGTGTGTGTGTGAGGTTCAATTAGAGCGACCGGTGGCAGCTGAGTTTGCGGTGGCCTAGCAGG